GTGGTGATATGAATTCCAGGCTGTAAGAAGGAGCTGGTAAAGGATGCTGAGGTGAGCACTGCCTCTGGCTTGGCTGCCCAGCTCGCTGACTCAGTAACAATGTAGGAGGAAACCTGGGAAGTGATTGTTATTTCTCATCTGTAAACTGCTTCTGGCGGTTCCCTGCAGTTTGACTTTAAGAAATCTTTGGTATTGGGTCATAGGTTTGAACAGGTTGGTTGCCTTGGGTCTAAAATGCTATTTCCTCGTTAACCGCTGCTGGCAAATGTGTGCTAACTTCCTTGAGTCTGAGCTGTGTATATGAACTATATTAATGTGTTATTGAAAGAAAAGGTATTCTAGCCCATACTAAGTAGCTGTGTGCTTGTTGGCCGGTTTGTAGTTCAAGCAGAGTGAGCTTGTGTCTGCTTATAGAAAGATTGTGCAGGCTTGCTCGCAGTGTCCTCCTCGCTTGGTATTGCAGTGGTGCAGTTAGAGATTGAGGAAGTACAAGGGTGAGGAGGAGTATACATCAGGCTATATTATTAGTTCCAGAACTCTTAGATATCCATTCTGTTCACACCTGCTATATCTTACTGTTTCAATAAAGTTGTGCAGAACAGAAGTATGGCAGACCGTAACTGTGTTCTGTCCATATTGTTTGTACTGTTTGTTAGCTCTGTTAACAGTAGTGAAAAGCAAGCAGAGGATTCCCTTCCCTAGGAACATTGTGGATGGTTCCTCTAGTGGCTTCACCTTTGTTAGTGCATCCAGACAAGATCAGCTATGGCTTCCTTCCTTATGTAATGATTCATAAGCGTAAGGGGAGTGAGAGATCTATTTAGTAGAAATAAATTCTTTCTGTATTGTATTTGTTCTTTAAAACATAAATAGGCCTTTGTCATTTATTTGGAATATATATTTTGTATGTTAAATTGGGTGTCAGTAAGAGAAAATGAAGTATCTGCCGAAAATAACATATGATTTAAGTTGATCTTTATTGCTTTTGGAAGAGGAAACCATAATTCTGTAGACCTTGGAGCGCAGGTAGAATCTAATGCAAGATGCCTAAGCTTAAGAGAGAGCATTCGTTTGCAGTACTCAGCATACAGGTGGGTAGTCCATGCAGAAGTTCAGTATTCTCTGTAAACCGAAACAATTGTCCTGCAGGAATTTTACTTCTAAACGTAGAATTCAGATAGACTTTAGGAACTGAAACTTTGTGAAACTCTTTGTCGTTGAGGTGAGTTAGTATTTCAGTTGGTGGGAACACAGGTCTACAATAGCAGTTTTGAGGCAGCAGCTGTAGAAAACACTGGTGCTCCCTCTTGGTATATAACTTGGTTTTCTTTTTCTGGATTGCAGATTTCTGGACTGTACTCTGGAATCAGACTACATTCTTCATACAGATGTTAAATGTTTTCTAAGTCATGAAGCACAAATTATCCTTATTTCAGATAATACTAGGTTTTTAAAACAGAGCTCAATTACAAGCAAGTTACTTGCTTTTTTTGGCCTTATTAATTGTAATATTTCCCTTAGTTCTTAGATTACAAGTGAGAGTTCAATGTAAAACTAAAGAGTGAAAGCCAATGAAAAGAGCACATTCCTTTCCTAGGATCTGAAAAAACCAGAATTCTACCTTTCCTCATGTATAAGTCTTGGAACTGTAGATCATTAATTGGGTCAAGTTTTTTTACAGAAAATAAGGTTCTCACAAAAAACAAAACCTTTCATTAAAGGATTTGTTTTTGATGGTTTTTTTTCCTTTTAACCAAGGAAATCTAGTACACAAAATGACAGTGATTTAAAGTTTAATGTGCATGAACCTGAAACAGAACACCAGAGAAAGAAATTTCATCCAACTTTCAGTACTTGGAAAATTTTTTTTTTCTACATCTCAAAAACTTGAATTTAAAAGTTCTCTTGACATTTATGTAGACAGAGTGTTCCAGGCTAGGAAACAAAGAAAAATATTTATCAGGGAATAAAGAAAATGTTAAATTTAACAGAATACAGCTTTTATTGAATTTGAGTCCATGATAAGTGAAAACCTCAATTTTCTAAATGGATCTCTTCAGAATACAGTCTGGATTCTTAGAATTCTTGAAGCCAAAGAAACCTCACATGCATCCTTAAAAAAAACAGTAGGTTCCAAGATGTAACCCATATGGTACATCGGTTTCGGTAACAGTGATTTGCTGAATAGTTTTGAGGATATAAATGAAGGCATTTTGGAGGTATAAATTAAGATTTAAGACTGTTTTAGTGTTTTTCAGCTTTCCTAGAAATATCTGTGTATGCTTGTACACAGAAACTATCATAACAGTTTTATCAGAAACTCTGCCTTTGCAGTGTTTTAATTTAAGTACCACTCTTAAAAGAGATCTCTTTTAAGAAAAAAAATGAAGAACCCTGTTCCTGTACTGGTCGTATTACATTCAGTAGCAAAACTTCATTGATTTAGAGGAGCCAGGATAGTATATGTTCTATGACTCTTAAACTGATTTTCATTTCACAGCATTGTACTTTTCAGTGTTTATTTGAAAAAAAAAAAAAAGCAGTTATACAGAATTTAATCTGTGTAGTTCACATTGACTAAATTAATATATATAATTGTATGTAATTCTCCTGGTTTAAAAGTCAGCAACATTTCAAAATTCTAGATTTTTAAAATTGCTTAAGATGTAATGCATGGTAACATGAATTAAAATGATTATAGCAGTTTAAAGGTGTTGATTCTTTTATTCATTACTAGTGTAACCATATAGTGTATATTACACTTAGAAGTCTATTTTTTATGTATGCCTGAGAAGTCAATGAAATTTGACATGGTGGTGTATTTTGTTTGTTAATAATGAAGAGAAAGTTCAACTAAAAATCCTAAGTATGTAACTTAAATTTAAATAAATTTCCCTTATCTGTAGATGATATTTCTATCTTCTTAGTTGGTTCTTTCCCCTTTTGTGTGGTCCTAAATCTTTGGTCCAATGAAAGAGTGAAAGAACGTAGTTTTCTTTTAAGTGTTCTTTTAAATGCATGGTTAGTCTACTCTTTGTCTTTATTTTTCTTTTTTCCTCTGTGTAGAGTTTTTTTGTTGTTATAAACTGGCCTTTTGCTAAGTGGCAATGTCTTCTGCAACTATGTATAACCTGAAGTATATCACAAAATAAGCAATAGAAATTATTTAAGGAGCGGTAAGAAAAGCATGGGCAACTTCTGTTTTCTTCTGTTTTTCTGTTTTCTCCCATGTTTGTCTGCTGCATGAGGAGCGATTCTTTTCTTGAAATAAATGTTTGGCAATTCTAATGTGGGATTTACTTGTAGAAACTGTGAGTTTATAATACTCTTTAGTAGAAGCTTCATATTCTGTATAACAAGGACTCAAATAGCTATGCCCTTTACTCTCTTTCTGACAAATACTAAGGTTGCGAGAGTGCTTGCTTGTTAACAGCATGATTTTAATCAGCCTTTGGTCCATTTCACTTCTGCTTTAGATTGGCTAGAATTTGGAATACTTTGTATCTGCGCTGCTATTTCTGATTTTTGTTAGTATACCTGTTTTGTATTACTTGAGGCATACTGGTGTTTGAGAGAGTAGGAACACCGGATCATTGTACCAGATTCTTTCTTTTCTTTTGAAATGAATGATCTTGAGAATATGTTCAGACAGTTGCAAGCAGTCTGGGCAGGGAAAACATGCAAAATGAACGTTTTAGACAGTCTTGAGAACATTGTCTTCTGGATTGAGCTTTGTTGATTGAAGACTATCTCCTAACTACTTGTCATTGCTGTCAGAGCTCTGCTGGCAGAAGGGGTTTTATGAGTTTGCCATAATCAGCATCACACAAGGTCAGCTGGGTCAACTCAGACCACTTGCATTGGCTTTTTAAACTAATCTGCCTTCTTATTACTGTAATGGATCAGGGTGGGGGTTCACACCATCTCTTCTTTCAGCAGAAATGTTGGGGTGCTAACCTGTAGCTGCTCGGGTGTGGTGACCATTTAGGAACTCTACTGTCTTCATCTGGCACAGCTGCTTGAAAGGTGAACATCTGTCCCCAGCCTTAGAGCACCATGAAGAGAGTGTGCATATTAACGTGGTTTAAGCTAACAGTGTTTTGCTTTGTGTTTATAATGATGTGGGGTGTGCACACAGGTAGTTAGTGCAAACTCAGCTGAAAAGGAGTAATTTATCAAGCCGTGCTAACTTGATCACTCTTGATCGTTTGGACATCAGTCTGCTCTTGGGCATTGGGGATATGTTTTAAAGAGAACTGATATCAATAGAAATATCTATTGGTTTGAACATGTTTTGTAATAGGCTCAAGGTGAGCTTTGTATGGTAGTATTATGTTGTGTCAAGGAATTATTATGAACTGGTTGACAACTGGGAAGGGTCCTGGAATTTAATGGCTTCATGAAATTACGTATCTGCCTTGAATAATGCTGTGATTGAGGATAGCTGTCTTTTTCTTCTGTCAGTTTTCAATTTGACTGCAATACTTGTAGTATCTTGAGTTCGTGGATATCGTGGATGGAGTCTGTAGGTTTACGTTTTCGGGGCAATTTCTGACTAAAAATATATTTCCTGACAGAATGTTGCATTTAAGTTTTTTTCTGTGTTTGATAGTGATGCTTACCAGTTTGAAATTTTGTGAAAAACAAGTTTAGGAGTTAAAACATTTTGTCAAGAAATTTGGACTGCATGTGATATATGAAAGAGCAAAATAAAACAAGTTGCTGTAGAAGAAACGTCTCTATAAAGCAACTATTAAGATGATATGTTTGAATTTGAAAAATGCAGTACTGTTGTTGTGCAAATGTTTAATTGAGATTTGAGGATCTATTTTTGATTTTTTTAATACATATTTCATTTCCAAGGACATAAATACTCACTGCTGTCTCACATTCCTGTAATATCAGTAATGTTCTATTTCTCTAGGTGGTTTCGTCTAAATGACTTGTTGATTTGTTTTTTAATGTTACTGATTTAATATATCTGTACTATCATTTTCTAGGTATTTCAGTGGCCTTCTTCAAGTGACCTAGAGTGTCTTATTGCAACACAAAAGTCTGAAATTGAACTTTTACAGGAAAAATTGAAAGAAGCAAATCTTAACCTAGCAGAGCACTGTCTGCATGGGAGAGGTAGCCTGGAAAGGACTGGAAGAAAGCGTGAGGTATGGTAGTTTTATTACCTTGTGTATTTATGTCTAAGTGAGGCTGGTAAAGCCAAACATTTTTGCTCGAGGGTCCAGATAATAATTTTAATATTTGTTGATGCCGCTTACAATTCTGGAAGCTTGTGTGAATGGTTCTTGTGTTATCTGCCAAAGACTTGTTAAAATAGCTGTTGGAAGAAGAAAGTTTTACCTTATTAAATACTGAATAAGGGATTCTTAATTAAATGAAATATTTGAAGGCTAAATTCTTTGTAGGTTTGTTAAAATTAATATTTATTATGTATTTTATGCTATTTACTGGAATGACCATCTTTCCCTGAAAGGGAAATGAGAGAAATACAAACAAAAATTACTATGAGTAACACAGAAATATTTTTTTTCAAAATAATATTTTTTTCTATGAATAAAAATTGTAGCCTTTTGAAGTTTATACTTTGGTCTTTTATCACTCTGTATAATGTTACACTCTGTCTTTCATTATGACTTGTTATTAAATTTAGGCTCCAGGTAGCAGTAACAACTATAAACTGTAGGTAATGAAAAAGATAAGGAAATAACCGCAGTTAAATTGATTTTTGAAATTAGTATAAGCCATTCTATTTTCAGTGTGTTCGGTGTTAAATTTTTTTTGTTGTGATTATATAGAACATTATATAGAAACTTGCAGGAAGCTTATATGTAACAAGGAAGCAAACAGAACACCCTTCTGTACGGTTTAAGTACCTTACAATAGTGGTATATCAAGTTCTGCTTCCTTAGAAATCTCATCTTCTCATATTTGGTATCTTGTACCATTTCATTTGAAAAACTGGATGGCTTTTTATGCCCCAATATTCTGCACTGTCCTGCATCTATTTTTGGGAAAGAAATACTTCAAAACGTTTGTTTAGGGGCACTTAAACTTCTTAGTTTTAAGCAACAGTGGCTATCATAGCTTTTGGAATATGGAGTCTCCTTCATAGGGTTATCAAGAAAAATGTCGTTGATTGCTGAGACTGTCCAGAATACCTGATTTTCCTGACCTTTTCATTAGATAGCTAAATCAGAGTAGTTTGTTTTTATTATCATATTCTACTGTGTCTCACTTTCTTTTCCTATGTCATTACTTATTTTGTCAGTATAATGTTAATGAGTGACATATTTGTCCCAGACTGATGATCACTGAACCAGGAATAAAATAATTACACTCTTTGAAGTGCAACCTAAATACTAACATTTAAATCCAATTACAGAAAGTCTTCTTCTGGTTTGATATGTAGATCCAGTCATGCTCTTCTAATACTCTACTTGAGAACTACTTGATATGTGCATATTTCCATGTGTACCTGTAGTCGCTACCCAAATTTTTGGAAATTAATTGAAAGGTCTACAAAGCTTTTGTGTTTAGGCAAGATAGTAAGAGAAATTATAGAAACATTCTGGCTTTAGGATCACAATATATACGTTTAAAAAAAAAAAGCATTCCTAATGAAATATATTGCTGTTACTACTGATTTTTCCCTTTCCGTTATCTTATTGTTCATTCTTTTAGGGCAAAAATATTCAGGACAGAAGTTATTAACATGTGATTTGAGAGAAAGAATACCTCAGATATTCAGCACTTTTTTTTACAATGGCAACTCTGTTAGCTTCACAAAGACTCCATCATATTGCCTCTTCATCCTTCTTTAAATATATTCCCAGTACACAAAGCACAAATAAGCGTGGAATGACTTCTCCTCAAAATGACAGTGCTATGATTACTTTCTACTATAAAAAGCCAAAATTTTTGAAAGATGAAATAATAGGAAACGCTTTTCAAAAAAGCTTTCGTCCTAGGAGAAAGCAAAAACTTGTGACTAGCATGACTTATGGAGACATTTGGCCATGTCACTGGACACTTCCACCTCTTTTGGTTCCGCAGAATGCATTGATACTTGCGTAGGCTAGTGCTGATTTTTGTGAATTGCCGAAACCCAAATCCCATGCCTACAGTGATATATAGCAAAGAGAACAACTTATTCTGTGAGATAGATGATGTGGTGGCTAAAAGCTTTGTTAAACGTGCATGTGCAGTGTCATTTTTCTTGATGTTGTTAAGTGCATACTTAGAGGCAACTGTAACCCTCTTCTAGTCTCTGTGGAAAGTGGTATAGCTGATTGCCGTTTTGTATGAAGATAGAATACATCTCTCTCTTAAAAGGCATGAGTTAACTTGCAATACTGATAAAGCTCATGTTGAAACATCCTTAATCAAAAGTTTGATTTTTTTTTTTCTTTCCTAAAAGAACCTGAAGCTTGTACTCTGTCAGCCTGTGGATCAGTTTCTAGTGTTTCTCTGTTTCTTTGTATGATGAAAAACATTAAGATTTCTGAGCACTGTCTTCAGTGCTGTATCTGGCACATATTCAACTGATCTATATGTTGCAAAGTTCTCCAAGATGTTTCAGTGAGAGTCTCAGCTTCCTTGTTTTTTTCTGTTTTGAAACTTCATCCAACACATAACATGCTCAATTTAAGAACTTGACTATTCCCTGCCTTGCCCTAGAGTGTCTTTCATGGTGCAGACTTGCATTAGGAGTTTTAAAAAGCATCTTTTCTTGTTCTGCTTCTTATTCTTGCATTAATAGTTTAGCAGGTATATGTGTCACATCTACTTACCAGCCATTTCTTCACATTATATCTTATGTCACAAAGTTTCATTCTGTTAATATTGGAAAGTGTGTTTATTTCTGTTTATTCTGTTATTTAGTTTAGTCTTTTGCAAGCACGCTTTAGGATCATTTGACTGAACATCTTTTGTTGTTGCACTTTCGTGACTTTGATTAATATTCTTCTGATGTTCTTCTGTTAATTCTTCAAATTAATATTTAGAAAATGTTTAAACACTACAATTTGTGTATATTTTTAATACAAATGTGTATAAATTTGCTGTACAATCGGAGAACTGAATTATAATTAAATCCTTACACATGGCAACAGCAGCAGCAAAGTTTACAGTTGTGAGAAGAGAAATACAGATGCCATCCTCCAAATTGAGTTCTGCAGCAGCCCCAGACAATCAAATTACAACATATTTTACTACACAGTCTCTTCTGTCTTGGTAGGAAAATTAAACTATTTGCCTCCTTAGCAAAGATTGCCTTCAGACTACTTGTTTGCAGCTCCAGAGCCCAGACCCAGCTCCTTTTCTCCACAGACCCCTAGTCTGATCACTAAACAGGTAAAAACAGGTTTGAAGAGTAGTTTGTTTAGCAGTGCACATCACCGATCCTACCTGTTCTCACGGGGCACTATTTCCGTGTCTATCAATAATTAGAATATTCTCTACATTTTTGCTTATCTTTGCCCTGCATTTCAATAGTGAGAAGATTCACAGCATAATCCCAGGCAGCTATACAAAAAGGCTGTTATAAAAAGAAAACTTGTTACATAATCATCGTATTTGATCACTTCTGATTAAAGCAACAAGACTGTGGAGCTTATTAATCTTCCAATATAATGATCTTTTTTTTCTTTCTCATTCTACTTCAGAGCCTCTCTCCCTACTTTCCCTTGCCAGTCAAATGGTCTTTGGTCCAGTTCTTTTCCTTTGCTGTCTTTCTCTGTGACAACAAATGCGATGCTTCAACCTTGATTTCAGAGAAATCATGTATTTTCCAAGTTTTTTTCTACACATAAATGAAGTTTAACCAGGAGTTAATTTACTGTTTCTTGGAAAGCAGTACACCCTGTATTCTTAGGGAGAGTGTGTGGGGTATGCAGTAATAATGAAATATGGAAGATGGCAAATTTTATTTAAGTATCCACCTTATTCAAGAACTTGGGGATTTTAAGGGGTTACTGGAATTTTTCGTACTGTGGTTTTGGGGTGTTCTGCTTCAGACAACTAAAAGGGACCTGATTTTTGTACTGTTAAGTACTTTTCTATGAATATCAGTGTCTGTTAACTAAAGTTAACTTTTGGATATCTTAATCAAAATTATCAGAAACAAAAATTAGTGATATGCTATTTCAAGGAGATCTTGTCTTAGGCAGTGCAGTACTAAACTGTCAAAAAACCTCATACTTTTAGAAATATTGTTGTAAATGTTCATTAAAATTGTCTTCTCTTTTCTTTGATTATATAAATGAACTGACAGGAATATAAAAATATATAGAATCTTAATGTTAAAGGACATATGTTGTTGTAAAGCTTTCTCCAAACTTTGTAAATTTATTCATATTTCTGAAGCAAAAAAAAATCGCCTCAGCAAGTTTTAGATTCTTAAATATGTAGAGCATGACATTTTTATTTTCTCCTTTTTGGAAACCCGTTCATTTTAAAGCTGAAGCATGGACTACAGTGTTTTATTACATTTAATGCTGAAAGGTAATGATCAAAAAATGCCAATTCCTAATTAAGATTCTCTTTAAGATTAATTTAATGGAATAGCAGAAATGTTGAAATACATAATATTTGAGAAGACTTTATCCTAAGCTCCTGTTGTTGTAAATCAGTTACTTTACGGTGAAAATGGTAACATCTAATAAAAGTAATCACAATTTTTAGTTTGAATTTATGAAATGGCATTTTATATTTTGCCTTGCAGGTGTTACGTGTGCGTTAGTATTTCTCTGTCCTTAGCCAAAGTTATTCAAAATATCAGAAAGACTGATTTAAGGAGGACTTTCTTTCTTTGCCGTAAGGCCATATGACATAGAATGAACAAGAAAGCTGCCCAGTTTAAGTGTTACTTTCACATATTCTTTCTCCAGATTGCTATATGAAGCTGTACATAATATAAACACATATTCTTGTCTCTAGTTAGTCACATTATAGTTAATGACCATATGGTCATTATGGTATAAGATCTACTGTCTGTTGTATTTATATTCCTCAAGCATATTGTTCCTTCAACTTCACAGTGTGTTAAACTATTTCAAAGGGAAAAAAATCCTTTCCCTCTTGTTTCTGGTTGTCCTATCAAGTGTAACCTTGGACCCTTATAGAGCAATTAGACCAGCCTCTATCCCCTCCTTTGTAATGAGGTTTCTTGCATTTCTGAGTCTATAACCCTTTAGTCTTCCCTAATGGGACATCATTATTCTGAAAGAAACAATGTAAATGTAAATGAATATTCTCATTAACGAGTCACAGAGAAACCTTTAGTGGTAGCGCTGTGGTAATTCTGCTTGTTATTTCTCTGGTATTCCATGCAGATTCTTTTTTTTTTTTTATAATTCATTATTAGTATTCAAAATTACTTCTTCTTTAATTCTGCATGTCTTTCATAATCCAGTGTTCCAACTAGTTCAACCATGTCCTTGTTTTATTCTCCAGGAACCACCTGTGAAACGTTCAAGGTCTCTGTCCCCAAAGAGCTCTTTTAGAGAGTCAGAGGAGCTAAAGAAGCTTAAAGTAGCTAAAAGGAAGACTGAAAACTTAGAGAAGACACTACAGCTAAAGGTGAACATTGAAAAAACAAAAAAGCAAAACAAAAAAATCCTCCAGCTAAAAGCTTGCATAGATAAAGATATACTAAAATAAACAGGTGTTTAGAAAATGCAAAATACACATATTGCTATGGACTGTAAGTGTGTTAGCACAAAAGAGTATCCTCCGTTAGACTGTCTTTTTTCCTTACTGTAGAGAATCTTGTGTTGACATTCCTGCAGTCCTAGGAAAGCCTAAATTTCAAGCTGTTTCATCAATAGGACATACTCATTAAATATATTTTAAAAATTTTTGTCTGAGAGTGTATATTTTGATAAATTTGTATGTTCCTATAGAGATAAAGCAGAAAGTACAAAAAAAAATTTTAACTGTACAGTTAAGTTCAATATTTTAAAATGCCCAAGTCAATTTCTTGGATAATATATTATGCCCTGTACTCCTAAAAGTTATGCCTCAGAAGAGGTTGTTCTAACAAATGCTATGAGAAAAAAAAACTTAGTAGGAAAGTCTCATTGATCATGTATTACAGTTGCTCACTTTGTCCCCATTTTATAGATGCTTTTTTCTTTGTTTTTGTTTGTTTATTTTGAGTTTGAATACCTTTTGAATGCTCTATTGGATTCAAATTCCACTTCCATATGCATTCTTAAAGCAATCAAAGAAAACCTAAACCCTATTTGAGTCATATTTTATTAAACATTACGACCCATACTCTCCTCTTATTTTTTTTTCTCCACAAGCATTTTCGAATTGACATCCAAAGCATACCCTTCCAAGGGGTTTATGCCCTTTTTATGAAGTCCTGTAATTATTTGATGCTTCTGTTGCCTATTTTTGTCCAGCAGTATGGAATTTGTAGGGTATTTTCAATGTATGTAGTTCAAAGCAGAACTGGTTTCACTGAACATGCTGTGAGAAATTAAAGACAAGTGAGAAAATACAGCTAGCCCTGTGAACCATATCTGGAGTTCCTGCTTCATCCAAAAATATACTCTTCGCGATAGGTCAATGTTAGAAAAAAATGTGATTAGATTTTCTTTGTGTAGGGGAATTTTATTTTAGCACAAATGCACAAGTTCATCATCCTGTATATTTGGGAGAATCTAGTATGTTGATTTAACACGTATATGTAGTCTACAAACAGGGTATATGATGCAGACTTCAGGTTCAGTTCCACAGTCCATTCATTCCTGTTTGGGAGCCAAAGATCAATTTTATAAGGGTTTTTCTGTTTTCATCAGAAAGACCTAAGGGATGTCCTATCAGCTGTACCTGAGAATTATACTGTTTGTTACTCTAAGGCATATATGTATTTTGATTGGCCTCTCTGACGCTGATGCTGCAGACTGTTCTAGCACTCTGAACTGCAACTGTTCTGGCTTTGGCAGCATAAGCTCACTCACCAGTGTATGTGTTTTTGTCTTAAGTGAAACAAAGTTCTGCATTTCTTTGTGTTTTCTTCTGGAAAGAGGAGTGAAAAAAAAACCACTTCAAGTTTCTAAACTGATATAGAAAAGAAAGCATTATTATTCTCTTTTTATGACTTCATAACAAAGGTCAGTTATGGTAGTTTTTACCGTTTGCCATACTGCCTTTGGCATTCCTTCTGTTTCAACCTGAAGCATCATTTGAAACCTGTGGACATCTGTTAGGTTGCAAGTATGAGATCTCTACCAACTCTTGTGTTTGTACCTCTGGTCTTTTGATTGTGCTCAGCAATATGCTGTTAATCCATAGTATCTTTAAAGGCTAAGTATATCCCCCCTTGAAAATGAGTGTATGAGCTCCTCCAACTCTAGGAGATGTAGTTGACTTTCCAAAGTGCTTTAATCGGTTGAAAAGAAGCTATGCTGACTGAAGTCAACACATGAAACACTGTTGTGGCACTACATTCAGAATTATTGAAGGCCACTGCCAGCATGGCGCTGAACTGAGCTGTTGTAACAGTAATATCAGAATAATTCCATTGATATTGTGTGATTTCTTGACATTAATCTCATCTCAGGCATTAATTCTTACAAAGGACAGTGAACATAATTGATACTGTCAAAACTGGCACTTGCATTATTGCCCCCTCAAGCAAAGAACTGCCTGTAATGATTGCCTGAAATAGGCTTACAGAAGAACTGAGCAATCTACTATCAAAGAATATACTGATGATACATATCCTGAAAATAAAATTGTGACTTTATCCATATGACCTTCTGATAATTGGTAATAATTTTAAAAAATGATAAGCAGAATACCTTTATTTTTTGGTTCTTTGAGCAACAGATATCCCAGTAAGCATTACAAAATAACAGAAAAGGGCAAGGTCCCATTCCTAGGGTTTCTCCCGGTTTTCCTCAGGTTACACATTTCTGGCCAAGGAAATTTAGCTGTTGCTGTCCTGATCACTAATACAGACAGGGTAAACATGTATATTCTTAATTTCAGAGAGTTAGTAGCTTTTGATACAGAATCTGCTTCATTTCTGCAGCCTAGGACCAGCTGAAAAAGTAACAGAGCCCATAGCTTCTTTGTTTAGGGAAGAGAATGTCACAATGAATAGTGTATCTCATGGATTTTGAAAAGCTCATACATCCCAGCATAAGTATATCAGTCTATTTGTCCTTAAGAAGTGAGTAGGAGTTTATTCTCTGAAATTTGGATATTTGGTGCAAACTAAGAACGTGTTATCTTGCCTCATATTATATTCCTAGAAATGTGATCCTTGGTACAACCTAGAGGAGATGTTCCTGGCTTTTACCGGAAGATTATCAAAACCAACAGGAGATCTTTCTTTCCTTTGCGTTTTCTCATCCTTTCTTTAAAAGGTCTAAAATTTTTGAGACGATTAGAAGCAAAATATGTAGATCAGTCTTTAGGGCTACCTTAATACTTGCTTATATCAGAGAAGAATACTTGTTTACATCACTATTATACTTAATATATTTATTTCTTAGATGATCCTTTTCTGTGCAGGGCATGCAGATGCTGAAAATATGTTAATCATATGGCTTAATGGAAAAGAATTTTTTTTTCTAGTGTAAGATTCCTCACTTCCTATCAGCCCAAACAGCAGTAGTTGAGGAATTGAACCATAATTTTTTTCTTTTCAGTTTTAATTCAACTTTTGCTGTGACAGAAGTTGTTACAGTTCAATTCAGCAGAATTTTGAAGTAGTAATTAGAATCTTTCTCTTTGGTTTTTGACTTAACTGAGCTCCCTGCAAATAACAAAATAACTTTTTTTTTCCATAGGCAGTTGGACTTTGTCTTTAATGATCTCACAGGAAGTACTATAGCATAAGAGTGACTACCTGGAGATCCAGCACCACTAGAGAAGATTGTTCTGTCCCATTTCTGTCAATATATAGAAAACTATATACAAGACAGCTTAATGATTAGAAAAATAGAACATAATCCAATCAAAGAGAAATGAAATTCTAGAAATAACAGGGTAAATTCAGAGTTCTGAAGTGCTTAATATTGTGGTAAAGGAGAGTGATTAGGACAGTTGCCTTATTTCTGTTTCCTTTAAAACAGAATAACTGATAAGGTATAACAACTGTAGTGGAATGCATGATGGATAGATGATGGAACTGGAAAAACATGAGTTCATAAGTGGGAAAGACCAAATTCTACACTTGGTTGCACCTTTGTAAGGGCATGAGCATGATAAAGTTCTGAGGTTTTATACTAAAGACAGACTTAAGTTTCCAATATCTTGCCAGTCTTGATCAAGTTTCAGCAGCAGCATCAAACAATCTCAGAATAATGATTTCGTGAACCTAAGTTTAAAACTCTGCATCTACAACTGTTACAATTTCTTCTGGCACTGCCATGCACAACTTGATCAGAGTTTATATGTCCTTTGCCGTAAATTCATTTGAATCTTGCTGTTCATTTAATTGGTTTTAATATTGTGGTATTTATATAAAGTATTTAAAACCAGTCAAAGATATTTTTAAAGTAGTTAATGGACAGATAAACTTACAGATTTATTTGGTTTAGTGATTGGTTCATAAAATTTGGAAAAGCATTTAATGGTAAAGTTAGTTTGAGACCTTTTATTTTCCTAAATCGTCTTTGTGTGTCACTTCCAGAAAAATTCTTATTTTTTATATGGTACAGCATCTGAAATTTTTGTTGTTTTTTTCTAGCTTTGTTTGTGTGTCTTGAAAGCTGGGCTACTGTTTGGAAGAAAAGCTTAGACTAAGTATAGTGTAGCTAACAGTCTGTATAAAGCCTTGCCCCGTGTTTATGGTTGGATTTTATTTTTATTGCTTACCACTCTAACTATTGATGTATGCTATTTAATGGCTAACGCTGAAAGCCCTGATTACATATAAACAGGAAATGCATACAAAAAAAGATTAAGGAACATGTTCTGCAGTCACCCCAAAAGCAGAGCTGCCGTTGAATAGAAAATGCAGCATAGAGAGCAAATTTTCCTGCAGGACAGTATTTGATTAATTCTTTACTACACTGCGAGAATTTAGGTAACTTCATACTGTGGTATGTCCTTTTCTTAATGTTTATTTTTTCAAAGCACAGTATTGTTTGTAAAAATTCTTTTTTTTAATTTGCACATTGTTATTCTGTAACATAAATCAGTACATATGTCTTATTTTTCATTCTGTAGAAAAGAAGTGTTTTTCTTAAATGATTCATATAAAAGCTGTTGCAAAATTTTTTTTTTTCCTTGCTTGTTACATAACAATGTGCTAGAGGCCAAACCCTGGGTATTTCAAGATTTATGTATGTATGTGTATAAATAAATAAATAAGTAAACAGGAAATTCCTGATACCATTCCAATTCTTGAAATTTTTGGTGTTGATTGCAGTGCTGAAAGTGTTTTCCTCAGAAATACAGAAATTAGATTTCCATGCAAAAAGAAGAGTATCTTAGAGGAAAAGACAGTGCCAACAGTCCCTTTTAAGTCTATATATTTTTAGGTATATTAAGTCAATGCATTTGCAAGATGAACACTAACATTTTGATAGTACATTTTTTTGAAATCTCTCAGTAGCATGAAAAAATATATATTTTGCCAAATTCACTTAAAAGTAATAATGAGAAAAAATAAATCTGCATTTTACCTCAGAAACTGTGTTTCTATATCATTTTATTTAGATTTTTGAAACTCTTAATAGTTACTTAAATGGAACCTTTTTTTCATGAGTTTTGTGTGAAAGTCTCTTACATTTTGCCTAACACTAATTTGGGGGGTTTTTTTGGTGCTATGCAGACACGAAAAACTGATGAGCTAAGAGCAGCCAATGAAAAACTCATAGAGAGGGTGCAGATGTTACCGACCAACTACAGAGCACTAAAAAAGCAATTAAAGCAGTGGGAAGAGGGCGATAGCAGGTAAGTTGCATAACTCATTAAAAACATTTCCCTTGCACAAAAAATCTGAACAAACGTATTTTTATAAGTATTCAAAACAGAATTTTATTTAAATGAAGAAGCTGTTATGTGATAATCAAGACTTCATCCTTTATTAAAGCAGAATACATGGCATACCTCTATATGAGAAAATTTATAAGAGTAAAATGTACTGAGCTGACAACTTATTTTATTTAGGATCCTATTCTGAGCTTGAGTACTGGACAAAGGTCTGCTATGGCTTTTTATTTTGCCTGTTATTCCCCAGCTGATTAATTTCTTGGCTCTGTATGTTTTTAATTTTCTATAATGGAACAATTGCTTCCTGTGTTTCAAACACTATTTAAAATAATTGTATTTATTGAACAATGTAGAAATTATAGCATTTGTGTGAACATTCAGAGATTCAAACATTTTAGTAAAGCTAGTCCTAAAATCTCTTTTTAGCAAGAGAAGAAAGAGTATGTGCATAAAAAGCAGAGTTTTTCCATCTGTTAAATGGTTATAAAATCTGTTACTCCTGATTATTCTACAAAAATATAACAGTAATGTATCTTCATGAATGAAAAAAGAAAGAATATCAGAACTCTTTTAATTATGAATATTCTAGATATAATTTCCACTTAAAATCTCTATGAAATAGTGAAAGTATTACGCAAAAATTATTTTCTGAAGTCCTAAGCAAAGAGTTATGATTTTTGGTAAACAGACACATCTGGAGATATGAAGAAATTTCTTTTCACTTCAGTTTTCAGACACTGTTGAGGTGGAGTTGTTTAGGATCTGTTCCAAGCAAGTAATTTGAGCAGGTTCTTAAGTTCTGGTGGCTTTAGCAGGACTTCAGCAAGTACCTAAGGTTCAGCATATGCATATATGTTTTTTCAAAATATAATTCTTCTTGTAATTAGCGCAGCAGTAGTAGCCTGATTCATCTTGACACAGAGCAAAGCTTTTGACACAGCACATCTCCCCTGGGAGCTTATCTCCCAGCACATCCTCATAAGCAAGCTCAGGAAGTGTGGGTTGGATGAGTGGACAGTGAGGAGGTGGCTTGAGAACTGGCTGGATGGCCGAGCTCAGAGGGTTGTGGGCAGCGGCACAAAGTCTAGTTGGAGGCCTGTAGCTAGCGGTGTCCCCCAGGGGTCAGTGCTGGGCCCAGTTTTGTTCAACTTATTCATCAGTGCCCTGGAGGAAGGCACAGAGTGCACCCTCAGCTAGTTTGCTGATGATACTAAACTGGGGGGAGTGGCTGACACACCAGAGATCTGTGCTGCCATTCAGAGGGAGCTGGACAGGCTGGAGAGTTGGGCGGAGAGGAACCTCCTGAAGTTCAACATAGGCAATTGCAGGGTCTTGCCCTTAGGGAGGACTAACCCCCTGCACCAGTCCAGGCTGGGGGTTGACCTGCTGGAAAGGAGCTCTGCAGAGAAGGACCTGGGAGTCGTGGTGGACAACAAGCTCACCACGAGGCAGCAACGTGCCCTTGTGGCCAAGAAGGCCAAGGGGATCCTGGGGTGCATTAGGCAGAGTGTTGCCAGCAGGTGGAGGGAGGTGATCCTGCCCCTCTCCTCAGCCCTGGTGCGGCCACATTTGGAGTCCTGTGTCCAGTGCTGGGCTCCCCCAGTACAAGAGAGACATGGAGCTACTGAAGAGAGACCAGCGGAGGGCTACGAAGATGATTAGCGGACTGGAGCATCCCTCCTGTGAAGAAAGGCTGAGCGAGCTGGGCCTGTTCAGCCTGGAGAAGAGAAGGCTTAAGGGGGATCTGATGTATGTGTACAAGTATCTGAAGGGGGAGTGTCAAGAGGATGGGGCCAGTCTCTTCTCCGTGGTGCCCAGCAACAGGACAGGAGGCAACGGGCACAAACTGAACCACAGGCAGTTCCGTCTGAACATGAGGCAAAACTTCTTTGCTGTGGGGGTGACAGAGCACTGGCACAGGTTGCCCAGAGAGGTAGTGGAGTCTCCTTCGCTGGAGATATTCAAACCCCGCCTGGAGCAGGGAGGTTTGACTAGGTGATCTCCAGAGGTCCCTTCCAACTTTGGCCATTCTGTGATTCTGTGATTCTGTTTTAGTCTCTTTTTAACCAAAAAAGAGGCCTAGAAGTTGGTGCAAAAATTGATACCTGTTCATAGTGCTCGAGGTGATGTGAAGACAGTGTAGTGAAAATTATAATCTGTCCCTTATGTATGAGTAATTCTTTGGCCCATTTGAGTAGGTTTGTATTGCAATGTAGTACTGTGGCACTTTTTTTTTTTTTTAAGTTTTTCTGTTAAAAATAAAAAGATCTAGGTGTATAGTAACTTGCACATTCACTACATTGTTAGCTTGGGAAGATTTTTGAAATATCAAAGCATAAAAAACTAGCAGAGTTGTTTAAATGACTAAAGAAAAAGCTGGATTTATTTAGGAATAACATGTAGGATTTTATCTTCCAGCTCACTATTTTAAATTCAACATGTAGGATTTTATCTTCCAGCTCACTATTTTAAATTCAGTGCAAGTTGGAAATGACTGAAACCTGTTGGATGACAGTTCCATATCAAATGAAATGACTTAATTCAATGTCTAAGGAAGCATTCATAGTCCACAGAGAGGCCAAGACTAGATAGATACAAAAATTCAATCCAAATGAAGATGGATAAATTAAAACTTGAAATACAGTGAAGCACTGGTTAAAAAGGGAACTTTTGTTTCTGTTGAAAATAAATGAGACCAGCTTATGTCCAGACAGGAACAAAGTAGGTATTGGGAAAAGTGTAATCTTGAAAACTTTATTTATTAATTTGTTAATTCATAGTAATGAATTTCTTCACCAGTAATTTATGTGAAGAGCTAAAAATCAGAGTTTTTTCATGATTTTTTTTCATCAGAAGAGAGTTGGATGTAACCTTCAGTCTTTTTGTCTATCACTAAAGGGTTTTGTCTTCCTTTTTTAATATGCTAATAAAGGAAAATAGACAAGACATAAATAAAATCAATCTTTAAGTTGTTATACCTTAAACTGCTTTTTTTTGGCATCTCAAAAACCTTCATATTGCTGGTATAATGTTATTTGTTCATTAAGAGCTCTGTGTCAGGTATTTATGTGGCATTTCTAATCTTTTGCAAGAGATGGAGGACCCCACTCTTCCTGGTTCTTCATAGGTTAGAGTCTGTTGTCTCGATGGTAGCTGATGGGACCTAATCCACCTGTCAGTGTGCATACATACTTCCAGACATACGTGACTGCAAAGATGATGGGGCCGTTCTGAGCTTAACACGTTCTTTGATAGTTTAGATTGAAATTTATTTTTTAAAGGAATACTTTTTATAATTTTTCATATTATTAAAGCACATTAAATATACTCTTCTGAAATAAAACTTGTGAAATGTTTTCATTTTCATCTGCTCTTTTAAATTCAGTATATCTTCCTGATGCTTCATCTATCCATAGATACCTTATTCTTTTATCAGACAGTAGATCAACACTTTGATTTAGAACGGGCATTAGTGCGACTTCCGGAATGGTTTGCAGGAGTACACGAGGAGCTGGTGGCTCTCAGTTTTCTTGCAAGACATTGTGTTATGCTTTCACCTTCTCCTTTCTCGTATGAACGTTATGAAGGATGTTGACAGAATGGATGAGGGATACTGCTCCGCCACATGTTGGTTGAGAGCCTTGCTGCCCGTACTAGCAGGATTTCTGTCTAAAACTACTTAAATGGGACATTTTTATAGTACCAACATTTTGAGTCATACGTCATGAAATGTATGCCTCACTTAAGCATACAAGTCTTACATCTAGTATATGCAACAATTACAAATCTGTTTTCTGAGAGGGAGTATGTTTTCATTCTCATGGTCTTAAAACATGTAGATATTTAAAAAGAAACAATCTATTTTTACTCATAAACAGGACTGAAAGCAGTAAAAGCAGATACCAGCGTGCAGACTCCCGTCAGCTTTGTCAGGAGGATTCTGATGCTGTATGGAATGAGCTGGCTTATTTCAAAAAGGAGCACCAAAAGCTTTTGATTGAAAAGTGAGTTTTTTTCTTAAATAGTATTTAGATAAGGAAACATGCTGTTGTTTTTTCTGAAGGTTCTGCCTTGCAGGCAGTGCAGGAGGAATTCCCTGCAAAATTCCAAGATTAAACCATCTTCTACCACAAGCAGAAAGGAAAACATCAGCTCTTTTTTTTTTGCCTCTTAAATCAATGACAAGTTACAAGTTTGCTAGCACTAACAGAAACTGTATTCCATGATCTAGGGATTGTGTTAATTAATGTGGCTCTCATCTGTTGGAGGTGTCGCTCTTCATTAGCCTGTATTTTACACACTGCCGTGCTTCATTTTTGGAATGAGGTGGTGAGGGGATAACCTAGCCAGCCATCCTTGTTTGATCTCTGTGATACATACGCAATGCAGAATGCCTCAGCTCTCTTGGTTCCCTGCCCTGTCCTGCTAATCCCAGCTGAGCTCATTATGGTGTAGCCTTGCTGCTACTCCTGGAGCCAGAGCTGTCCAAGCTAATTACTGGTAGCAGCAGAGCTGCCTGTTAAGGGTCTGGTGTGGATCTGCTAACATGGTCCTTGGTAGTGACCTGCAAAAAGCACGAGGGAGTTGCTCTCTTTCTTGCTGTGCACAGCCTGTCCTTTGGGTTTAGTGCTGATCCCTTCACACAGCTCTTTTAGCTGTAGTAAGTGTAAAACTTGGTGAAGGAAACTCTTACTTTAGAAAACATACAGTTTGCTTCTTTGATCTCATAATTCATGGGTTATTATACTCAGCCAGGCAAAGTAAGAAAATGTCCTTTTATACGAGACAAAAGGAAGTTAGTATGGTATAATTATCCCTTTGCAGCTATTTAATGCTTTTTTTGATTTTTTTGTTTAAAAATCAAGACATTGTAGAAACTTCTGTTCAGACTTTGGATATGTTTTTGTCAGCATTAAAGAAAATGTATTTTCCTAATGGGTCAAAATGCAAATCAATTTTGTGGACATACCATGAAGGCTGCTATCACAGAATTTCAACAGCAGCAAAATATTTTATAGTATGTAAGTCCTTATGCTGTCCATAAGCTGTTTCAGCATCCTGTGTACAGTATTGCCAGTAGCTTTGTTGCGTGGTATATTCTTATACATGCTAGTTACAATTGTGTGCCTGTCCTTGTCACTTCATCATTACAACTTCTCCTGTGCTGTTTTTAAAGTAGCACAAGTCATCATTGTAAGTACCCCTTTTATCCTGATTTTTAAATAGGAGAGAACACTTCTCTTGCCATACAGGTGATTGCAGTTGTGATACCACTTCCATTACTAAGCAACACATGCACCATAGGCAACAGTAACTTGGGAACAATAACATACTGCAAATTGTGCACAAAACCTGTGGACTGTTTTTCTGGAGACTAGTGGGCTCTTGCATAGCCTCGCCTTTATGGGGAACGCTCTTTTGCTTGGTACGTTCCAGATCCGTGGCCTTGACTAGTCCATGGTTGTGGTGAGGTTGCACAAAGAGATAGTTGAGCTCTTTCAAATTTAGAATTTTTAAGTCAAAATGAGTTCTTTTAATTCTACCTCCTTCTCAGTAAGAAGCCAGTTCACTCTTGTGATCATTAGTGTGAAGTTATGTGGGATTAAATGCTTTTTACTTCCTATTGGCAATCTAGCTTATTTTTAGTTGAGGTAAGTAAGGAAACGATAGTTTTGCATGTCTATCTTCAGTGTCTGCTTTCTAATAATGTTTTGATTCATTGAAGCAAGTGAGCTTTTAAAGGTCTGAACTTGATTTTTTTGAGATAGTCATTACTACCCGTTCCCTCTTAAGCTGTGTGGACAAAGGACGTGATCTTCAGAGTAATACCAATTACTTAAAAGAGTGATTTAAAAACTAAAGTAGGCAAATCAGTTTAGCTCATAGTTTTTGTGGGCACATTGAATTTGGTAATTGTACTGATTTTTAGCTGAAACTGATTAAGAGCAGGTGTAAGTCAAACCTACTAAGCAACTCTTAGACATTAGTGTCTGTGTAGGGATTTTCTTTTAAGTCTGTTATAACTTTAAATGTGTGTAACTTCTGTGTTTGAGTAGGCCAGAGACTGAATGTTAAGAAAACAAAAGTATTTGCTGCTGTTTGTTTCTTTATTCTAAGGAAGATATCCTTTCTTTCTTTCTTTGCCCCTTCCAACTCAACAAGCCTTTAATTTGCACATACATTGATCTAAAAATAGATGGAAAGTCCAATAAAATTCATACAATAAAACACAGAATAGCCTTTTGTTGCATGTCCCCGGCTCTTAAAGTAAGTCATTAGCAATGTTAGCATACTCTAAACAATCAGTTTGTAAGTCAAGAAATCTATTTATAAGTCAGGAAAAACTGAAGTTCCTTAGAAAAGTTGCTTGTCTTTGTAGTGCCTAATTAAAAATCCTTTTGAACTTGGTGCAAAGACTGCCCAGTACTTTGTGTCAGGCCTGTACTTTTATAAACCTTTTTTTTCCCATTGTAAGCAAGGATTGTTTAGACTTTCATGTAAGCTGTTACACAGAATGCGTGTTTCACGCTGGACAGTAACAGCGATAGGAAAGTATGGGTTATGGGCTTGAAGTAAAGCACCTGTTTTTGAAAATATATGAAGTCTCTGCTTTCAGGGTGCTTGAGACCTGAGTTAACTTTTGGAGAATGTTAGTGCGGACTATGAGGCTTTTTTACCACTGTAGGTCTGCAGTATTAGGCATTTTTTGTTTCTGTGAAACCTCTGTTAGTGATACTGTATCGCCATAGACTACACCTATGTAATCTGTTCTCAAATCTCAGTCTTTTATTCTAAGGTAATGTCTTCATTCTCTGTGTAAACTCCGGCTGTCAGAGTCCGTGGGTTTTTGTGTGTTCAATAAAGAATAATGTGTGTTGTATTACTTTGTAGTTAATAATGGAGCATGTTTCAAAGCCATGCCATGTATCTCCCCCAGTCTTAACATGATATATGAATTTGAGCCATTTATACCTGTAAAAAAGTCTCAATAGCGCTACAGTCAGTTACTAGATTAGTAAAATCTAGTAATCAATAAATTATGATTATTATTATGAGGGTGACAGAGCACTGGAACAGGTTGCCCAGAGAGACTGTGGAGTCTCCTTCCCTGGAGATATTCAAAACCCGTCTGGACGCAATCCTGGGCAATCCTGGTTGAACAGGGAGGTTGGACTAGATGATCTCCAGAGGTCCCTTCTAACCTCAGCCATTCTGTGATTCTGTGATTCTGTGTGTGCTCACTGCTTTATGCATATATTGCTCTTGAATATATCCTGATATTCCTTTGGAGGGAAGAGGATTTTTTTACTATTACTCTGATTTATCTTTATACTGAGATTATTACAGAATAGTTATTCTGAGTGTATAGAAATTACTTTTAATGATGGTTTTACCTGAAAAAAACATCAATTTTAGCTGGCTTCTTTCTTAAGCCTTTTGCCCACTATTTCACAAAGAATATCTAATTATATTCCAGACGTCACAGTGTAGCTGATAGGGATTGAAATGTTTGCTACGTTTTTAATTTCATGACTTATAGAGTATTACTTTTTTTCTTCTTTGAGATTAGTAAACAAACAAAAGGATCCAACATCAGTTCAGTTTGAGATCTAGAACTCTTTCTGAAGAAATCCTAGGAATTTAGGATTAGCAGCTGCCTGCTAAACTCATGCCAAAATTGAAGAGTTACAGAGAAACAAAATAAGATAGTTCAAATAAATTCACTAAGAATTCTTCAAAGCTCTTATTAAAGATAACAGCCCAATGAAAACAATTCCACAGCTCTGCTTGGATGTCCCTTTTCTGATCTTCTTGTGTGGGTCACTTTCCCTATGACATATGTGATACCTGTGCCATATTGCAATCATTTCCTTTTAAGTATCACATCACTGCAAACTGCCGAGGCAGCTATTACTCAGTATTCAATGTTCGGCTTCTGTGTGAAGAAAAACATGGGACCTGATCAATTTTTCTTCCCCTTAAGCAAACAGAAAAATAGAATATTATTCAAATAGCAGTTAAAACTTTAATCAGGATGACTTTAATCAGCAGTTAAAACTTTAATCAGCCATGCTGTACAAAAGTAAGTTTTTATCTGAGTTGCGTGGAACCATTGAAAACATACAAGACTATTAGATAATGACATAAAAATTTTGAAATCTCTTATATTCAACTGTGTAACACTAGTGATCTAAGATTCAGCATCTTGCAGCTGCACAGAACTGGAAATTTTTCAGTGAATATTGGCAAAACATTTCACTATATATGTATGAAAGTTCCAGTATAGCTCTCAAACATTTTTTTAGCTAGATTAATTTTAATCCCTGTTATTATGTTCATACATATGGTTTTGTAGTAGAGATTTTCTCTAAACGTTAGGCAGCTTCAACTTTGTATCTACATTATTTGAATTTTGCTGAAATTCAGGCTAACTTAGTAGATGGCATGTCTGTAGTGTCACAACTAAACTGCTACTGGGTTAGGAGTTAGTTAATTTAAACTGCTTTGGTATTTCCATAGTAATTTCTATTTGCTTGTTGGCTGGAGTGTAGATAGATATAGCCTATCTCTTTGCCCATTGGGGATGGGCTTGTGTATTAGACTACGTATAAACTACTGTGGAAGCTTTACAATTTTATGTCTTGTCTTCTGAACTGTTTTATAGGAGATCTCGTAGCTGACACTAGCAACGCTGAACTTTTTGACATAGTATATTCTTTAATCTGAAACATGTAGTCAGTATCCTCAAAACTAACTGGAAATTGGTTGTCCAGATGGTGTGCTCATAAGCAGCTTCTGATAAGGAGGGAATGTTTATAAAGTAAAAAGAGCAGCCACATCCTAGCCACTTTGTTTGAAGAAGCTTTGGTATTCTTTCTTCTGAGCACCTTTATGTGCTGTGCTGTGTGCAAGCGTGCAGATTATCTGAGTGTTACAAAGAAGAAATATTGTACCGTTGGTAAGCACATTGCCTATGAGAATGATGCCATTTTCTTTTCTCTGT